AATGCCAGAGCCAAACGCCAGTCTTCAAGTCCCCGCAGTCAAGGCCACTGAGGCTCTTTGTTCATAAAACTTGTTGGCTCAATTTAATATACGTTTAAGATTCTTTAAATATTTCCCGACTGATTAACAAAGAAACAGCCTTCTCCCTTTCTGGTGTCAAAAATGACTGTCTTTCTCATTATATTTTGATCTCATTTTGTAGTTTCTGAATTAAAATCTATTAGGTCTGATGTATGTATAGTCTCCTCTGCTCTCTTTCGGTTTCCATTTGCATAGAGTCTCTTTCTCCATCTTTTCACTTTTGACCTATGTACGTACTTAAAGATAGAGTTTCCTGTAGCCAGTGTTTATTTGTTTCGCTTTGCCATTTTAAGTTCCATTCAGCCACTCTATATTGTTTGACTAGATAATTTGATCCAGTTACATTCAAGGTAATTATTGATATTTAGGGCCTTACTACTACAATTTTGTTCCTTGATTTCTGGTAATTTTGTATATCCTTTCCTCCTTTCCTCTACTTATTCTGTTTTCCATTGTCATTAGATAATTTTCTCTGGTAGTATGCTTTGATTCTTTCCTTTAATCTTTTGTCTATACTACAGAGTTTTTTTAAAAGTTATCATTTGTAGTTACCATGAGGGTGACAAAAAATATAGTCTAAGTATTAGAATATACTTGAAGACTACTTGAAGCCACTAAGAGCCCAACTCTGATTACATATAAAACTTCACAATTGTACTACACTCTCTCTCTGCATCTAAAATGTTTGGTATTAGAATTTGCATAGTTTTATTGTATATCCCCTAACAAATTATTGTAGCAATTATTATTTTCAATAATTTTCTCTTTCAGTCTTTATAATAAATATATACATGATTTATATACAACCTTTCCAGTATTAGAATATTCCAAACTTGACCGTGTTCTTTCTAGTAAATTTTGTTATTTCATGTTTATTTAATATACTAATTTACTCCCTTTTATTTCAGCATGAAGAACTTGATTCTTTGAAATTATATTTTTCATTTCATCCATTATATTTTTCAGCTCAGCTCAGGAATTTTGATTTTTAAAAAATAATTTCAGTGTCCCTGTTATTTTTGTTGTTTTATTCATTAATGTTTTCTTGATTTTTAAAAACATCAAATGATTTCTCTGTGTTTTCTCAAAGTTGGCTAAACTTTCTTAAAGTAAGTATTTTGAATTCTTCGGGAGGAATCTCTTATATCTCTGTTTCTTTGGGGTTAGTTACTGGAAAATTACTGTGTTCTTTTGGAGGTGTTATGTTGGTTTTCGTTTTTCCTGCTGCCTTATGGTGGTATCTGCACGTTTGTGGGTTAGCCACCTCTTCTACACTTTATGTGCAATGATCTCCCCTGCAGGGCTACAAGGCCATTTCTCCCAGTAGAACACATCAAGGAAAATAGCTCCCCATCTCCTCTCTCTTAGGAATTTAGCCATGGTGTCTCATTCCAAGTTGTAACTTCCTGATTATCCTAAATAAATAAGAAATTTTATTTGTTCTTTGGATAAAGATAGTTAACATTTATGAGGCTGACTATATCTGTCTGGCTGTGTAAGAGTGAGATTTCTTTCTTTCTTTGCTGTTTAGTACCTCACACTGTGATTTAATGAATATTAAATATCAAACTGTGGGGACCAGCAGATGGCATAATGGCTACATCACTGGACTTTCATGTAGTCGACAGGGGTTCGGGTCCCGGACCCGGTGGCTTACACTCACACCAGGCGCATGTGTATGCATGCCCAAGATCCTGAGAGGAGAATGGAGGAGAAGGGATTGCGGTGTGGCCATCTCTCCTGGGGGGTGATTTTTCACTTTCTGTCTCTGTCTCTCTCTGTCTTTCTGGAAAGTGCATGCACCCTATAGCAAAAACCTCTCTAATAAATAAATAAATATCAAACTGTGGGGACCAGCAGATGGCATAATGGCTACATCACTGGACTTTCATGTAGTCGACAGGGGTTCGGGTCCCGGACCCGGTGGCTTACACTCACACCAGGCGCATGTGTATGCATGCCCAAGATCCTGAGAGGAGAATGGAGGAGAAGGGATTGCGGTGTGGCCATCTCTCCTGGGGGGTGATTTTTCACTTTCTGTCTCTGTCTCTCTCTGTCTTTCTGGAAAGTGCATGCACCCTATAGCAAAAACCTCTCTAATAAATAAATAAATATCAAACTGTCTTTCATTGTTTGAAGAGAATATTTTTCGTGGACTGGCATAAAATTTTAATTAGTTTCTCAAAATATCTCTTAAATTTAAATAATTTTTATACCTATAGTTATGTAGATTAAAAATAAAAAACAAAAATTCAAAAATGGGTATCCATTCCAATCAGGCTAAGAGCATAAGGAATTTAAATAATAAACATGTATTTTACCTTTTGGCTATTTCGCTGATCACCAGAAAATCTAATAAAAACATAAGTAATTACTATTTATCATGCCTTTACTGATATGTTTGATAAATTTCAAACATGTCTTTGCGTCATAGAGAATAAGTAAGTCATTAAATCTTGATATATTAATTTCTACAAATTGTGATATGACTTAGCAATAGATAGGAAAAAATGCTTTAAAGGCATATAGAAATGGTCAAGTCAACATGGTATCCAACATATATCACAACAAGGAACATGTTTAAAAAGGGGCTCCAGTGAAATAAACAGACTCGACCATTTTGAAGTTAAATTTTCTTCTGTCAGGTTAACTTTTCTTCTGATAAGGTTAAATTTTCTTCTGTTATCTATTTACTCAAATATTTTCTTGATAAATAGACACTGAAAGTTTTAAAAAGAAGTATGGAAAAATAAAATCTAAAAAAACTCTAATCTATTTTTTGTTTCTTTTTGTAAAATGGGAAAGATAATTAATATTGGATTTGTCTGTATATACTCCATGTAGATTATAAGCATAAGTATTCCCTAGAAGGACAACTTAAGACAGTCTGCTGGGGTTAGACTGTGATGCAGTGATAAAATACAGTGCGTGCTCAGTGAAGCAATCCCATGCAGAAAGATTCCTGGGTCAAGTTTGGAGACCTCTCTGGATGCATTAGGCATAAGTGTATCCGTGATTCAAGTGGCTAGTGGAAGGTTAGACTCTATTGGCGGTGCTGTTTCTCTCTTTCTGCCACTCATGAAAGAGATAAATGAGTAGACTTAAAAAAAAGAATGTCTGGGAAAAAATAGTTTTTAGCCAAATTTAAATGAGATCATTCTATTTTTAATTTTCTAAGGAACTGCCATGCCATGTTTCCACAATGGCTATAACATTTCCATTCCCATCAACTGCATACAGCATTACAACTTTTCTAAATGGTTGCCAAGAGTCATTACTTTCTAGATTTTGTTTTTATTTATTTGTTTTACAGTAGCCATCTTATTGGGTGTGAGGTGGTATCTCATAGTATTTCTGATTTTCATTTCTCTTACAAGTTGATTATTACTGAGCATCTTTTCTTGTGCTTAGGGACCACTTGTATATATGCTTTGTGGAAATATATATTCAGTTCTGTTGCTCATTTTTGAACCAGCTTGTTTTAATGTTGTTGAATTTCAGGACTGTGCTCCATGTCCTGGATATATGATTTACAAATGTTTTCTCCCATTCTATGGGGTATCTTTTTATTCTGTTTATATTCTGGGAATATAGCCAAAATAATTTAAAACAGTGTCTTGAAAGGATATTTGTACTTCCATGTCCATAGCAGCATCATTCATAATACTGAGTCACAGAAACAATCTGAGTGCCCACGGAAGGATGAATGAGAAGCAGAATGTGGTAAGTACATCCAAAGAAACACTAACTTTAAAAAGAAAAGAAATGATGACAAATGCCGGAACAAGGGCGAACCTTGAGGACATTAAGCTAAGTGAAATAAATCAATCGCAAAAAGATGAATGACGCACGATTCTGCTCATGGGAGTTACTTAGAACAAGTTACCAGAGACAGAACGAAGAATGGTGGATGGTGTTCATGAGGGTGCGTGTAAGAGGGCCATGTGGAGTTACTGTTTAATGGATTTAGAGGTTCAGTTGTTCAGGACGAAAAGAGAACCGGAGATGGATGGATGTGATGTTGTTAGTGGTGGTCGTACAGTCATGCGAATGGACTTCCTTCCACTGAGCTGTGCACTAGAAGAAGAGTTAAACATGGTAAACTTCTATGTGTTCTTTACAGTAATAAAAAAATGTCTTATTGTAAATAAGAAAATGGAAAGCAACAAGGTCACCCGTCTGTACACGAAGACATGAAAGTTCTTTTCCGCTTAATGATCTTGACTTTCTATGTGTGAACTCCTGTACTGACGGGGGAAACATGTGTCTAGCCTTTCACTTAGTCTCCATAAACCACAGGCTTTTCTAAGAAACAAAAGTATACAATACTGCATAAATACATCATTTTGATTGTTCTTACAGAATCATGATTGTAATTTTTGGTTGCCTGACAGTTAATTATACATAATACTTAAATACTAACACAACACATGTGTGCATCTATTATTAGCTTGCGATTTAGAATCAGGTGGTTTTTCAAGGCATAAAGATGTATACAACAGAAAACTTGACTTCCAAATTGTTAGTGTTTGTGTGTGTTTTGACCTGATATTAAAGTAGAAATCAAGCAGTCGATACGGTTTAAATAGGTCATTAGGTGCTACTAAATAAACGTCGTGTGAATTTCTGTTTTCTTACAACAGTAACTCATCCGTTGATTCAGAAAGGTATGACATGAAACAATATCACCAGAAACTTCTCCAGCAAATGGCCAAAAATGCTTTGTAATGCTTATGTTACTCGTAAATGCATTTTAAATGTCTAACTTTTGGAAAGTACGGGCAACATGTGCAGAAAGTAGTGCTGCAAGTGTGGTGGGCTGTGTGGACCCAGTGACTCTCTAGCTCCCCTCCCACCTTCCTGACCAGGGCTGGGAACCCAGGGGTTTGAGCCCACGAGCCGCCTCCGCCGGTCCACTCCAACGGCCATCGCGGTGGCCAGGCCGGCCACACAATGCTGTCTCTCTTGCTGTTCCTCGCAGGCCTGGGCCAGCTGACCTCCGCAGACCAGAGTAAGTGAACCGCCTGCAGGACAGGACGGCGCCCTGCCGGATGTCGGCCTTAGGGGTCCAGAGCTCAGGCCAGGCTGAGGAGGAGCCTGTCTGCAGGCAGGGGTGCAAGGGCTCAGCGCGGAGCTGGCACAGCCGCCCCTCACTTACCTGACCCCGCATGGGAGGGCGCGCTCAGGGAGCGGGAAGGAGGAGCCAGGAGGTCGGGAACCTCCAGCCCTCACTTCTGCAGAAGGCTGAGCTCAGCAGGCCCCAGCTGTCTCTGGACAGCGGTGGGGATTCGCCCTCTCCTAGCAGAGCCTCTTCCTGGGAGTGGGCAGAGTACGGGCTGTGTGTGTGTGTGTGTGTGTGTGTGTGTGTGTGTGTTGAAGTCGGGAGTTTAGAGTGGCCAGAGATGCGAGACAAGTGGAGAAAGGAGGCGCTGTGCATGGGAGAACGCTCAGTGACTCTCCTCCTCGCAGGGTCTGAAACACCACTTCTGCAAATCACAGTGCCACGGAGGGCAGACGCAAACACCAGTGATGTCAGTGATCCAGAATCTCATGTAAGTTAGAAATCGTCTGGTTTAAAGGTAGGGCTGTTTGATTTTTACTGTGCTACCTGGTCCTAATCAACTCAGACATAGCCCTTGATGCGATTTTGTGCTGTAATTGTGCTGAAGACTTGTTTGTTCTGTGTGAGGGCAAGTGTTTGAGTGCTTTTTAAAAATTTCTCTACTGGAGTATGACATCTATGTATCTATATATATGTGTGTGTGTGTGTGTGTGTATATATATATATAAATATTTTTTGAGAGGTTTTTGCTGTAGGGTGCATGTGCTCACCAGAAAGAGACAGACTTTTGACTTAAGGAGAAATTCAGTATCTTATTTACACTTACAATCCGAAAGGTTTTTGAATTCATAAATTACTAAATAGCTTATAATTTTGAATTCTTAAATTACTAAATAGCTTATAAAATTTCACAAGTGTAATGTAAATATTTTAGACAGAATTCAAGTCTTTTTCAGATAATAGATAAATTAACTAATTTCAGTGATGTCTTTTTATGAGAATTATATATTTAATTTATTATTATTATTATTATTAGTAGTAGTAGTAGTAGTAGTAGTGTTTTTAAATTTGATCAGTTAGAGAGAGAGTGAGAAAATAAGCCACCATGTCTGATACTTGAACTGCAGTCACCCATGTGGGAGTCCAGTGCCTTAACCACCACACCACCTGCAGGTCCTGAAGGAATTTTTATTGTTGAATCAATACTGAGATTAATTGATTGTTGAAGCATCACCCACCAAATTATATTTATCAGTAATGACAAAACTCCATTAAATTTAGCCTTCTACATAAATGTAGGCTGTCCCCAAAAATTGTGTCTTCGTAGAAGTGACCCTTTTCAGTTTGGGCAGTTCTCAGAGGACAGGGGAGTGAGCACTGTGTGTAGGTACCACTACTGAAAACTGGAGCGGGGCAATACCTTTAAATAGGGAATCTGTTGAATTGTTACTTGAGCTTCAATTTACTTATTTTATTTATTTTTTTTCTTTTTTTTGAAGAGGTTTTTGCTATAGGGCATGTGCGCTCGCCAGAAAGGCAGAGAGAGACAGAGAGACAGAAAGTGAGAAATCACCCCCCTGGGGGTGATGGCCACACCGCAATCCCTTCTCCTCCATTCTCCTCTCGGGATCTTGGGCACGCATGCACACACGCTCGGCGTGAGTTTAAGCTGCCTGGTCCAGGACTCAAACTGCGGTGGACTATGTGGAAGTCCATGACATAGCCATTACACTAACTGCTGGTCCCCTTATTTTGAGAATTGCAAAGTAGAGAGAAGATAACTAAAATTCAAGTTTATTCAAGGATTATTCAGCATTTTTAAATATAACTTCCAGTTTAAATTAAAATCTTATTTTTTTATTTTTTGAGAGGTTTTTGCTACATAGGGTGCGTGCGCTCGCCAGACAGAGAGAGGCATAGAGACAGAAAGCGAGAAATCACCCCCAGGGGGGATGGTCATGCCGCAATCCCTTCTCCTCCATTCTCCTCTCGGGCGGGATCTTGGGCACACACGCTTACGCGTCCGGTGTGAGTTTTAAGCCACCGGGTCCGGGACACGAACCGTGGTCGACTACGTGGTAATCCAGTGACATAGCCATTACGCTAACTGCTGGTTCCCAGTATTCTAAATTTTGAAACAAAGAATCCTTGATGTACTTTAGCTATGATTAACTTAGTCAGACAGTTCAACTTTTATACATGTGGAATATGATCTATCTTTATAGAAAAGAGGACATACAGAAAAGGAGGATGTACATTTTTAAAAATCAAGGTTTTTTACTTCCAAGAAGTTGGAATTTCTAACAAATACTTTTTCTCTAAACGCTTTGCTGCAGATTACTTATTTGATCAATATTCAAGGGAAAACCTACACTCTTCTCCTTCAAAAACAGTAAGTAGCCACCTTTTTTTTTCTTTTAATTTTTTTGTTATAGAGTATGTGCACTGGCCAGAAACAGAGAGAGAGAGAGAGAGAGAGAAATATCCCCCTGAGGGTGTGGCCACATAGCAATCCCATCTCCTCCATTCTTTTGAGAATTTGGGCATGCATGCATGTGTGCCTGGTGTAATTGTCAAGCCTCTAGGTCTAGGACTTGAACTGTGGTTGACAATGTGGGAGTCCAGAGCCTTAACCACCAAGCCACCTGCTGCCCATCCTCCACCATTCTTTTTTATACACAGTTGTTTTTAGTGTGTTAATTTTTTATAATCACTATCATATAATAAGCTTTGAGAGACCACAAATACTTTATTTTTTAACATGTATATCTTCTGATTTATGTTAGATTTAAAATCTTCAATATAATATAAATTTAATGATGTGATTGTAACGCATCTCTGTTAAATGGAAATTAAATATAACCGATTTACTCAAGTGCAACAATGACGGGTATAATTTTTATTTGTCCATGTTTAAATTTTTGTATCTGCACACAGTATTTAAAATATTCAAATATTTTAAACATTTTACTTGATAATAGGAATGTTAAAGCAAAATTAAAATGGATACCAGGCCTGGAAAATTTCTAAGAAACAAACCAAGTTTAGAAACAGTCCTAACCTGAGGGGAGGCTGGCAGGTGGGGCATAGTAGTTAAGGTGCTGGACTCCCACCTGGCCGAGTCTTGGACCTGGCAACTTGTTTTCTTACTTTCCATCTCTCTCTGTCTCTCTGCTTTTCTCTGGTAAAATTAAAACATAAATAATAATAACAAATAAAATAAATAAATTAATTAATTTTAAAAAATCCTAACCCTGATTAAATTACCTATTTAAGGGGAACACTGAAATAAAAGGATCACAAACACCTCAGAAATAATGGGATGCAGGACCAGCAGATGGCATAATGGTAATGTTGCTGGACTCCCATGTAGTCACCCATGGTTTGAGTCCTGGACCCGGTAGCTTAAAAGCCATGCTGGGTACATGTGTGTGCATACCCAAACTCCTCAGAGGAAACTGAAGGAGAAGGGATTGCAGTGTGGCCATCTCCACTTTGATCCGTTCTTTCAGGAATACCGCATAATTCATCATTTATAGTAACAAAGTATAAAAAGTTTTCCCATGAAAGTTGTCTGGATGCTGTAATTTGGGTTATCATCTACATAAAATGATCAAATATAGTTCTGTAAATGCCAGGCGAGTCCTTAACTTGGGATCTCTTGTACAAGACAGAAACCCATTCCAATGAGCCTCTCCTTGTATTTCAGACCCAATTATACAGAAGAACTCTGGGTTTCATTCTTAAGTAAGAACTTTCTCCTCACATTGGACCCTCTCAATCAGAAAAATCACTAGTTAATATTTCAGTAACTATTGAAAAAAAAGTTTTACTATTTTAAATTCTCTTCAAGCAATATGATCTGAAATGAGTATTTTGGCCTCAGTAGTATACTATGTACTAAAAGAATTCTTGATTCTTGAACTGCTCAATAGTGAGAAGTTTGTGTCCTAATTGATTACAAATAAATGTTTATATGTTAACAAATTAGAAATCATTGCCTCATATTTTGTTTAATTGTATTATTCTTAAAGTTATTTTTATTAAAGATATAATGAAGTGTTATTATTTGGTTGAATTAGGTCATTTTTGCACCCACGTTTTATGGTGTATTCATACAGCAAATTAGGAACATTGCATCCAGATCCTTCATCTGTAAAGGTAAGTTTTGGTTTTTGCTGAGTAGATTTACATCTTTTTTGTCTGTGAGTGGTTAAGTTGCCATTATTAGAAAGAAAACATGAGTGCTTTGTACACAGAGTTTTTGGACAAATAGCACAAACCCAAATATAATATGGCAGTTACTATAAAAGCATGTTGAATTGAAAACTGCTTTCTAAGTCTGGAAGTCAGAAATCACATATTCAAAAAGGGTGTATTTTTAGATCTATAGGTATTAGTAAGAGTTTGAGAGGAAAACATAGTTGGTAGAAGGAGCTAAGACGCTGAATAATTTTTAATTTTATTATTTTAAGTTTTTGCCACAGGGTACATGCGTGTTTCAGAAAGAGACAGAGAGAGGGATGGCCATGCTCCTTCTCTTCCATTCTCTTCTCGGGATCTTGGGCATGCACATGTGCCTGGTATGATTTTCAATCCACTGGATCTAGAGCCTGAACCATGATCGGCAATGTGGAAGTCCAGCACCTTAAACGCCACACCACCTGGTGGCCCTCCTCCCTGAACAGTTTTAATTAACGTCATACCACCTGAGCACTGGAAGAAATGTTACAAATTAGAAAGAACACATGGTAATGGTGAGAGTGTGGCTACAAAACCAGATTGTGCATATAATCTCACTAGGTTCACATATGAAATTCTGCAATTTAAATTTTATCCAAAAAAGCATTTGGGACTCAAGATATTTTGAAAATGTGAGAAAGTTTATTTTACCACGTAAAATACTTCTTTTGGTAGAACACATAATGGAGAAGGAGCAAATGAGAGCGATTGGTCAGATTCTATTGCGTTTTGGAACAGAGAAAATGAAATAAAAAATATGTTCCCTGGTACAAGATTTTCCTTCTCTGGCATAGACAAATACAAAACAAATTAAAATGCATAAGGCACCTATTTTCAGACATGTGGCAATATTTTAGGATCAGGAATTTTCTCACTGAGAGAAGGAAAGACAAAAGCTGAGTTTCACGTTGAAGTTGGTTCTGTGACTTGAGGTAGTATCTGGAAGGCACAGGGATGTAGAACCAAGTAGACCTCTCGGGGATTAGGATTCAGGGCTGCTTGGGCGCGTGTGCGTGCGTGCCCAAGATCCCGAGAAGAGAATGGAGGAGAAGGGATTGTGGCGTGACCATCCCCTCTGGGGGGTGATTTCTCACTTTCTGTCTCTCTGTCTCTCTCTGTCTGTCTGGTGAGTGCACGCGCCCTATAGCGAAAACCACTCCAAAAAAAAAAAAAATAGGAATCCAGGGCTGCTTGGGGCCAGCGGGTGGTGTAGTGGTTAAGGTTCTGGACTCCCATGTGACTGACCGTGGTTTGAGTCCTGAACCTCTGATGGCTTGAAGCTCATGCTAGGTGTGCCTGTGTGCATGCCCAAAATTCTGAGAGGAGAATGAAGAAGAAAGATTTGTGGCATGACCATCCCCTCAGAGGGTGATTTCTCACTGTCTCTCACTATCTCCCTGTCTCTCTGGCCAGAGTACGTGCCCTAGCCACTGAAGGGGTGTAAAGGAAATGGAAGAGCTAAAGGTCCACTATACAGAGATGTTGGAATTTTATCCCACGAAAACATAAATAATAATAACAAATAAAATAAATAAATTAATTAATTTTAAAAAATCCTAACCCTGATTAAATTACCTATTTAAGGGGAACACTGAAATAAAAGGATCACAAACACCTCAGAAATAATGGGATGCAGGACCAGCAGATGGCATAATGGTAATGTTGCTGGACTCCCATGTAGTCACCCATGGTTTGAGTCCTGGACCCGGTAGCTTAAAAGCCATGCTGGGTACATGTGTGTGCATACCCAAACTCCTCAGAGGAAACTGAAGGAGAAGGGATTGCAGTGTGGCCATCTCCACTTTGATCCGTTCTTTCAGGAATACCGCATAATTCATCATTTATAGTAACAAAGTATAAAAAGTTTTCCCATGAAAGTTGTCTGGATGCTGTAATTTGGGTTATCATCTACATAAAATGATCAAATATAGTTCTGTAAATGCCAGGCGAGTCCTTAACTTGGGATCTCTTGTACAAGACAGAAACCCATTCCAATGAGCCTCTCCTTGTATTTCAGACCCAATTATACAGAAGAACTCTGGGTTTCATTCTTAAGTAAGAACTTTCTCCTCACATTGGACCCTCTCAATCAGAAAAATCACTAGTTAATATTTCAGTAACTATTGAAAAAAAAGTTTTACTATTTTAAATTCTCTTCAAGCAATATGATCTGAAATGAGTATTTTGGCCTCAGTAGTATACTATGTACTAAAAGAATTCTTGATTCTTGAACTGCTCAATAGTGAGAAGTTTGTGTCCTAATTGATTACAAATAAATGTTTATATGTTAACAAATTAGAAATCATTGCCTCATATTTTGTTTAATTGTATTATTCTTAAAGTTATTTTTATTAAAGATATAATGAAGTGTTATTATTTGGTTGAATTAGGTCATTTTTGCACCCACGTTTTATGGTGTATTCATACAGCAAATTAGGAACATTGCATCCAGATCCTTCATCTGTAAAGGTAAGTTTTGGTTTTTGCTGAGTAGATTTACATCTTTTTTGTCTGTGAGTGGTTAAGTTGCCATTATTAGAAAGAAAACATGAGTGCTTTGTACACAGAGTTTTTGGACAAATAGCACAAACCCAAATATAATATGGCAGTTACTATAAAAGCATGTTGAATTGAAAACTGCTTTCTAAGTCTGGAAGTCAGAAATCACATATTCAAAAAGGGTGTATTTTTAGATCTATAGGTATTAGTAAGAGTTTGAGAGGAAAACATAGTTGGTAGAAGGAGCTAAGACGCTGAATAATTTTTAATTTTATTATTTTAAGTTTTTGCCACAGGGTACATGCGTGTTTCAGAAAGAGACAGAGAGAGGGATGGCCATGCTCCTTCTCTTCCATTCTCTTCTCGGGATCTTGGGCATGCACATGTGCCTGGTATGATTTTCAATCCACTGGATCTAGAGCCTGAACCATGATCGGCAATGTGGAAGTCCAGCACCTTAAACGCCACACCACCTGGTGGCCCTCCTCCCTGAACAGTTTTAATTAACGTCATACCACCTGAGCACTGGAAGAAATGTTACAAATTAGAAAGAACACATGGTAATGGTGAGAGTGTGGCTACAAAACCAGATTGTGCATATAATCTCACTAGGTTCACATATGAAATTCTGCAATTTAAATTTTATCCAAAAAAGCATTTGGGACTCAAGATATTTTGAAAATGTGAGAAAGTTTATTTTACCACGTAAAATACTTCTTTTGGTAGAACACATAATGGAGAAGGAGCAAATGAGAGCGATTGGTCAGATTCTATTGCGTTTTGGAACAGAGAAAATGAAATAAAAAATATGTTCCCTGGTACAAGATTTTCCTTCTCTGGCATAGACAAATACAAAACAAATTAAAATGCATAAGGCACCTATTTTCAGACATGTGGCAATATTTTAGGATCAGGAATTTTCTCACTGAGAGAAGGAAAGACAAAAGCTGAGTTTCACGTTGAAGTTGGTTCTGTGACTTGAGGTAGTATCTGGAAGGCACAGGGATGTAGAACCAAGTAGACCTCTCGGGGATTAGGATTCAGGGCTGCTTGGGCGCGTGTGCGTGCGTGCCCAAGATCCCGAGAAGAGAATGGAGGAGAAGGGATTGTGGCGTGACCATCCCCTCTGGGGGGTGATTTCTCACTTTCTGTCTCTCTGTCTCTCTCTGTCTGTCTGGTGAGTGCACGCGCCCTATAGCGAAAACCTCTCCAAAAAAAAAAAAAAAAAGGAATTCAGGGCTGCTTGGGGCCAGCGGGTGGTGTAGTGGTTAAGGTTCTGGACTCCCATGTGACTGACCGTGGTTTGAGTCCTGAACCTCTGATGGCTTGAAGCTCATGCTAGGTGTGCCTGTGTGCATGCCCAAAATTCTGAGAGGAGAATGAAGAAGAAAGATTTGTGGCATGACCATCCCCTCAGAGGGTGATTTCTCACTGTCTCTCACTATCTCCCTGTCTCTCTGGCCAGAGTACGTGCCCTATAGCAAATCATATCTTTCAAAAAAAAAAAAGTGGGGGCACAGAAGCAGTTGAGATTTACACAACTCAGTACTATAGCTAAAGGAGAGTTATCAGATGCATGCCTTTTTTTCCCCCTCCTATTTTTTCTTTTTTTCTGGGTTGTTCTGTGTCTGACTATAAATTAACTTGTATGTGCTGGGAAAGACTCTACTGAAGGGGTGTAAAGGAAATGGAAGAGCTAAAGGTCCACTATACAGAGATGTTGGAATTTTATCCCACGTAGGGTAGCATTACCCTGCTAAGATCCCAGGATCATCTTTTCCCATGTACTGAGTGCATGTCCAGGAGCTGCTGGGTGTGGATTTCTCTCTGCTGCTGGGTAGAGCTTTGGGGCTTGGGTTGCCTTCTACCTTTTCACGAAGAGCTTGTGGCTACATGACCTGCCGGCACCAAGACAGGTGAAGGTGGCTGCTTCTGTTGCTTTGCATGGCACAAGGTATGGTATGGATCTCCTCACCTGGAGAGCAGTCTCCTTGATGGTGTGGGCAGATCAGACACTGCTGTCACTATGTGTCAGGTGTGGTATGGATTGGCCCAGTTGGCCTGTGCTTGTAGTAGATGTGGCCTTCACCTGAGAGTGGATGTGGCCTGCCGCTATTAGTGAGTGGAGGTGGGGGTGGAGGTTCTGACTAGCTTTGAGAAAAAGCAATGATCACTGGTGGAGATTTATGTAAGGGATCTAATAACATTTCACCATCCATGGAAGAGAACATGATGGCACTAAACTTTTCATAATGTTGGATTAATGAAGGGGCAAGATCGTGTCTAGTGATCAGTAGAGTCTGAAGGGAGGAAGGGGGAATACACTAAAGAACCTGAGAAATACTAACCCTGTGTAAGTGAGTAGGGAGGAGAGTTTGAAATAAGGATGGCCAGTTATCTCTCAGGTGATACATTAAAGAAATATCCAGAGGAGTCAGTGGTTAAGGTGCAGGACTCCCACATGGCTGACCATGGTTCGAGTCCTGGACCCAGTGGCATGAAACTCACACTGGGCATGTGTGAGTGTGTGCCCAAAATTCCAGGAGAATGAAGGAGAAGGAATAGTGGCATGGCCATCCCCACTGGTGAGTGATTTCTTGCTTTCTCTTTCTGTTTCTCTAGCAAGTGCACGTGCCCGATAGCAAAAATCCCTCTCTTAAAAAAACAAAAAAGAAAGCAACAATAAAAAACAGCCAAATCACGATGATGAATGTCAATTAAGATACTATTGGGTGAGCTAGAGAAAAAAAATGTAGTAGTATTTACAGCTGTAGTCAAATGATTGCTGTTAGTGACATCAAATTCGTAGTTAAAGATGATCCACTCAGGAAATATGGCTGGCGGAATGAAAGATGCAGATAAGAGAATTGTTTCTCAAACATTTAGAATTTTAGCAAATTTGGGAAGGGAATAACAGTCATAATGATATTTAGGTAGAAAAGTATTTAGAGGAAGAGAGAGAAGGACATTAACTATCTAGTGAAGAATAGAGTAATGGATGCATCGGAATGTTTGGTAATATCTAGGAAGTAAGGGTGAAATAGAGCTTTATTTATAAGTTGTTGATGGCTACATCTCCCTATATTCCTCTGTAGGGTCATTGCTTTTATCTAGGATCTGCCGCGGAGATTCCCCAATCCGCCGTGACACTAAACACCTGCCGTGGCCTCAGGTATTGGCACAGTCCTGTGAAGCACACTGATACTTTGTGTAAACACTCATCTTTTGGAAACTTTGTGAAGTGTAAAGACAAAAAAGTACACATATTAATTGTGTTTCCTCTCATACACTTTATTTACCTCCTCCTTTTCTTTTTCTACTGTCTTCTATTCCCTTTGTCATTATCTAACACTGACAGATAAACGATTTATACAGAAAAAGCTCCCCATAGCATGAAAAGTACCCATATTTCTTGAACAAACTACAGCCATGAATACTCCTAAATGCAGTGATAGAGAGAGAGTGGGTATCAAAATGGGTTTGAAAGGTAAGCCAAATTAGGTGGGATAATTAGATACTAGATAATGAGCAAATATGTAAGCTTTTATTTAGTTAGTTTTGATTTACACTTCTCAGTGGGAAATCTTTATTAACATCTTTTTTTGTATTTAAATATTTAGGGGCTTATTACAGTTAAACGACATCAGTTACAGAATTGAACCACTGGAATCGTCAGCCACATATGAGCATGTGCTGTATCAATCTGTTAATAACAAAGTTGGTTATTCCTTCTTACCAGAAAATTACCCTACCACCCAAAATGTAAATCAGGCCTATAAGATTCTTGTGAAATCAGAGGTGAGTAATCTCCTTTGGGTCTTCATACGTTTGTTAAATTTACACTGAAATTTTGAGATTTAAATACATTTGGAAAGAAAATTTTAACTGGCATGCAGTCTATTAAAACTTCTGTTGCAGAGTATTTGTTTAAAATGTTTGATACTTATTGTGATAATTAATATTTTAAAATTTAATAGAGATACACCTAGCTTTAAAATCATCAAAGTTCTCGGAACATGTTTCCCTAATTGCAAGGACTTTTATACATACATACAAGGGGACTTCAAGAGTTCATGGAAAAATGGAATTAAAGTATGAGTTTAGAGATCCAGCCAGTGGCTGTGGTAAAATGTGATCTCTGAGACTGACCCACATGGGAAGGTTTCTGGTTTGAGTCCAGAGATCAAAGCCTTCTTATTCATTTCTAAAATTTTACTTGGAATCCCACCTCTAAGTGGTAACTCATCTTCTTATTTTACTATTATCTGTATCTGTTATGTGTCTATCCACCAATCTATCTATCATCTACGTATCTACCTGTGTGAGTGTGTTATGAAAGCTACGATGTAAGAATTTTAAGAATTTTTATGGAATTCATGTTCTCTAATTTACAGAAAAATTCAGACATTACACTAGTGAATAGAACTATGAAAATACAAGTCATTATGGATAAAGCCATGGTATGTGTTACTGATATATTTCGTTATTTTTTGCTTTGTATTTAAATTCAGGGGAGTACAAGTAAGTAACTACACTTGTTTTCAAAACAGATATATTTTAATCACCTTGTTTAAAATATGTGTCTCTGAGACCAGGAAGTAACACAGTGGCTAGGTTGCTGGACTCCTACATGACTGACCGTGGTTTAAGTCCCAGACCTGGTGGCTTGAAACTCACACCAGGCATGTGTTCATGTATGCCCCAAATCCCCCTGGAGGATGATTTCTTTCTTCCTGTCTGTCTCTCCAGTGAGCGCACATGCCCTACAGAAAAATCTCTCTCTTAAAAAAAAAATAGTGTCTCTATACAATAGGATATAAAGAAATGACAGTTGCCTTTGTATTGACAGAGGGGAACTATTTATATATTGATTTCTAAATCAGTCAAAAATTCGTGTAAATACTGTTTAACTTTGTATGGAAAAGCCTCTACCACATATAATCTAATAGTAGCTAGTTGCAGATACATTTAGATCTACCCAAAAGTTGGATGAACACTTCCTTAAATCTGTTTCTATCGTTTTTTCCCCCCAAAGTTTTTGCCATAGGGCATGTGTGCTTGCCTGAGAGATATAGAGAGATAGTGAAAAGGAAGGTGAGAAATCACCTCTCAGACAGAATGGCCATGCCATAATCCCTTCTCCTTCATTTTCCTCCTGGGATTCACATGCATGTGCCTGGTGTGAGTTTCAAGCCACTGGGCCCAGGGCTTGAACTGTGGTTGGCCATGTGAGGGTCCAGCGCCTTAACCACCATGCTACCTGCTGGTCAATCTATTTTTCTTTTAATGCAAGCCATTTCATTAATTACTCAATTAGATATCCTTATCATTAAGTATTACTGTTGAAAAGATTGCTTTATCATTTTTAACTATCTAATTTTCCTGGAGGAAGTTCTGCATTTTAAAAATGCGAAGAATCATTCAGAATTTAAAGTGGAGTCATTTTTGCCAATTCTGAATATTTGAGCCACGGTAGGACATGAAGGAAGCATTTTCTTACACTACCATGTCCAATAACAAGAACTGTTATTTAAAGAACTCTGCTAGAATCATAACATTGCACAAATATTTATAAGTCCTTATGTTTTAGGATTTTTTAAATTGAGTTTTAATACAGTGGAATGTTATTGTCTTTGTTCTTATTAGTGTTTGACTTGTTAATATCTTGTGATTACTGACATACTTGTATTTTTTTCCATCATCATATTTATGGATTTGTTTTTAAATTTTCATCTGTTGAGCCTTAGGAGGCATCATCTTTACTCACACACACATGCCACATTGTGTGTGTACATTGTGGTTTATTGGGGAAGTTCCCATACAGAGAAGAAGAAAAATGAGTCTCTAAGAAGCTTGACCTCAAAGAGTTGGGAGGACAACATCAGTTCTCTCGATATCAGAAAGGAACTCTGTACATTGCATTGTCTTTTTTGTCAAGAGTCTTCAGCATATTTTCTGGGGATTATTGAAGATCCTAAACTGCCAGTTTTTATGTTTTCAGCAAAAACTTAGAAATGGGTGTGCACATAATTAGAAATAATATTTTACAAAAAATATGACTCTTATGTCCTTGAATGAGGATATATCCTTGGTATTATTTATGGTATCATGGTACTCAGCCTCTGGGTCTAGAAAACACATCGTGTATTGGGGGTGAATACCTGGCTTCTTAATTTCCATATCAGTAAAGAAGATAACCACAAGTAACTCATTTTAGTGTTACTCATTAATTTATGCAATCTCTGGGCTTATGCTTGAAAGTTATTAGGGTGGTCCAAAAGTAACTATGGTTTTTCCATGGTTAAAATCTGCCTTTTGATATTGGATACATTCTTAAATAAATGTGGTTATGTTATGCATCATTCTAATGGGCATTTCCTGATTATTTGCTAAGGACTTATCACTTGCTGTTTATCTTGAATTTATTTTAGACTATAGAAATGATATTAGATTAAAAAATAAGTTAGAGAAATTTTCTTTTTTTTTTTCTCTTTTATTTTTTGGAGAGGTTTTTGCTATAGGGCGAGTGCACTTGCCAGAAAGACAGAGAGAGACAGACAGAAAGCAAGAAATCACCCCCAGGGGGGATGGTCACATCACAATCCGTTCTCCTCCATTGTCCTCTTGGGATCTTGGCACTTATGCACATGCTCCCAGTGTGAGTTTAAGCCACCGGGTCCGGGACTCGAACCGCAGTTGACTACATGGGAGTCCAGCAACATAGCCATTATGCTAACTGCTGGTCCTGAGAAATTTTCTTATTCCAGTTCAAAATGGGTCAAAAAGCAGCAGACACAACTTGCAACAACAATGCACGTGGCCTAGGAACTGCTGACAATGTGCAGTGTGGTGGTGGTTCCAGAGTGTTGCAGAGGAGATGAGCACCTTGAAGATGAGGAGTGTGGTGGCTGACCACCGGAAGTTGACATCAAGCAGTTGAGAGCACTCACAGAAGCCGATCCTCTTACGGCTACAAGAGAAGTTGCTGAAGAACTCAGCATCGACCATTCTATGGTTGTTCAGCGTTTGAAGGAAATTGGAAAGGTGAAAAAAACTTGATAAGTAGGTGCACCATAAGCTGACTGAAAGTAAAAAAAAAAAAAAAAATTAAAGTGTCATCTTCTCCTATTCTACGTAACAACAAAGAATCATTTCTCAATTCAGTTGTGATGGTGACGAAAAGTGAATTCTTTACGTAACCAGTGATGACCAACTCATGGTTACAAAGCACTTTCCAAAGCCAAACCTGCACCAAAAAATGATCATGGGCACTGTTTGATGATGTGCTGCCGGTCTGATTCACTACGGCTTTCTGAATCCAGGGGAAGCCATGACATCTGAGAAGTGTGCCCAGCAAATCAATGAGTTGCACCCAAAACGGCAATGCCTGCAGCCTGAATTGGTCAACTGAAGGGGCCCCGTTCTCCACAAGGCCTGACCCCACAGCACACAACCAATGCTTCAAAAGCTGATTGACTCGGGTACGAAGTTTTCCTCATCTACCATTTTTACCGGACCTCTCACCAACCGACTACCACTTCTTCAAACATCTCAACAACTTCTTGCAGGGAAAACGTTTCCACAATCAGCAGGATGCAGAAGATGACTTCCGGGAGTTAGGCGAACCTTGAAGCATGGATTTTCATGCTACAGGAATAAACAAACTTATTTCTCATTGGGAAAATATCTTAGTTGGAATGGTTCCTATTTTGGTTGATAAAGATGTGTCTGAGCCTACTTAAAATGATTTAAAACTCATGGTCCAAGACCACAGTTGCTTTTGCACCTGAATAGTTAGCATTGGATCAGTCTTGATTCTACTATGCCTCTTCAATCGAGCACTGCACTACTTTAGTATTTCTATATATAGCTGAATGTATTTAAAATAAGGCAGTGAAGTCATCTTCACTAATGATTAAGAAAGAAAATTTGTCTTTCAGTTTGATTTTATGGGTTCTGAAGTGGCAGGAGCAGCTGAGAAAGTTGTCCACATCTTTGCTCTTGTCAACACTGTGAGTATTTTTGTTTCATATTTAAATAGAAACCTTCCTATTAATGCAGAAACGTTGTATGGATAGGTATTTGCATTTTTATAGAAAGTGTAGTTCTAAAATTATTTTCATCCACCAACAGATTCATATCCAAATATAATAAATTGAAAATGTGACCATTTTCTTAGCTGTGTAATGGGATCTTTAAAGTTACCTAAAGCTGCATCACATGCATCTTCTGTTTTCAGATGTTTTCCCAGCTTAAAATGACTGTTATGCTATCATCTTTGGAGCTCTGGTCAGATCAAAATAAAATTTCAACAGATGGTGAGGCTGATGATGTGCTACAAAGATTTTTGTTATGGACACAGAAATTTGCATTACAAAGGTCTCGTGATCTGACATACTTACTAATGTAAGCACTTCATTCACATTGATAGAGGGGTTATCAAATTGTTTGTGTTACCTATCAATGTTATATGCAGCATTTATTATGCATAATAATAATCGTTACAAAGATTGTATAAATACTGTGTTGGTAGAATGCAAAATATAACAATCTAATAACCATGTAATACGCTAAGTTACACTAGGCCGTTGTTCTCAGAGTGAACGGTTCACTTAAGGAAATGTAATGAAATGGAAAATGGAAAGTCTTGGGATAAACTCAGAGCCTCTCTTGTTATAAAGAAGTTCCCAGAGATGAATAATCGAGGCCTTTATTTATTTATTTATTTATTTATTGAGAGTTTTTTTTTTTTTTTGCTATAGGGCGCGTGCGCTCGCCAGACAGAGAGAGATGCTCTCACCAGACAGAGAGAGACAGAGAGACAGAAAGCGAGTAATCACCCCCTGGGGGGGGATGGTCATGCCGCAATCCCTTCTCCTCCATTCTCCTCTCGGGATCTTGGGCACGCACGCACACGCGCATGGTGTGAGTTCTAAGCCACCGGGTCCGGGATGCGAACCGCAGTCGACTACGTGAGAGTCCAGCGACATAGCCATTACGCTAACTGCTGGTTCCCTTATTTATTTTTTTTGAGAGAGATTTTTGTTGGGCCCGTGTGCTTGCCAGAGAGACAGAAAGTGAGAACCCCTCCCTCTCCGTAACCACGCCACAGTCCTTTCTCCTCCACTCTCTTTTCAGGTTTTGGACACACATGCACGCACACCTGGTGTGAGTTTCAGGCTGCTGGGTTCGGGACTCAAACCACAGTTGGTCATGTGGAAATCCAGCACCTTAACCACTACACCACCTGCTGGCCTTGAAACCATCATTTTAATATTACACAAAAACTAAATTGGCTCACAGAACAAAATAATTGCATATAATGCTGGTCACACCCCAGAACATGCAAGGAGAAAGTAAATAAGACAGACCACTGTATAATCCCTGTGGTTACTCTCTGATATTTTTTTACTGACCTAAGATGTAACTAAGACCTACTTTTATTTTTTTGTATGTGTGTCTTATAAAATTTATGTAGATCCTTGTTTTACTAATTTGATCACTTTCTATGCCAAATTTAAAAATGATTCTAGAGATGAAATGACAGTAGGAAATTCTTTTATTCTTATATTTTAAAATGTTTTAAAGTTTATTTCTTTCATGAATGAGAGAAATAGAGACAGAGATGCCACTGCAGACAGGGGCTTGATGCCAGTGATGTGTCTCCCAGCCTTCGGCCAGGATCAGATGTGGGTAGGCTCATTCCTGGCATCCTCATGGGGGTTCCCAGACTGAAACTGGAACCTTCCCAGGTGAGACCACCATGCAGAGCACTGTGTTTATAGCTGTCCAGCTGTGCTACCATTTGGCCACAAATCCTGAATTTTTCTTTGAATCCTGCTCATCTAGTGATGACAGTAGTGATCATTTTATTGGAAAGACTAAGCACTACTAAATTTTGGACTGTGTGTCATATAATGTCAAGTAACCTTTAGAAGTTACATTTATAGGAAATATAAGCAATCTCCCCAACAGGAATTGATTGGAAGCATAAGTTATGATATGTGATATTTAATTTTAAAGAAAACATCACCTTATTGATGAATCCAATTCTTAAGAGGTCATCAAGTTGCTAATTATTTACAATGCTTGTATCCACAAGAAAACTTTTATTGTTTAGGTATAGGGACCATCCTCGATACATGGGTGCAAGCTATCGTGGAAAGGCATGCGATCCAAAGTTTGCTGCAGGAATTGCTCTGGTATGCTCTCTGTTCCCCTCTGTTCATTAGTGATCTCGGGCTTTAAAAGTATTCCTTTTATTTATACCTGATTTAATCTTTGTTATTTTTTTCCTTTTGCTTTCTTGGGTTTGGTTTCTCCTTGAGGTATAACGTTCAGCTGTTGATTTCAGATGTTCTTTCTTTCTGTAATGTATGTATTTACAACTATAAACATCCTTCTTAGTACTTTGTTTTTTTCAGTATCCCACAACATTGGGTTTGTTGTATTCTCATTTTTATTGATGTCTATGCCTATTCTAATTCTCACTGTGACTTTTACATGGTCATATTGATGGATTAAGAGGGTGTTTTAAAATTCTCATATATTTGTGCACCTTCAAGGATTCTTCTGTAATTGATATCTAGTTTCCTTCCACGGGAATTGGAAAAGAAATTTTGTATTACTTCAGTATTTTAAAAATTGTTAGGGTTTATTGTACTCCCTAACAAATGATCCATACTGGAAAATGTTTCATGTACAGTTATCTAAAACACATAGGGACACTTTAAATGTATAGAGCTGAGCGAAAAAGTCAATGTGGAAAGGTGACATGCTGGGTGATTTTAACTATGTGATTTTCAGAAATAAGCAAAACTATGGAGAAAGTTAAAAGCTCATTGGTTGTAGGGGTTTGTTGAAATGCTACTCACAAGGTTTTAAACATTTTTGCTTTTAGAAAAAATATGGAACTCTCTCCTCAAATTGTTTCTGAAGTCAAAACTAATTCTAAATTAAATCCTTCAGAATCTATATGTCTTTTCCAGTGTACTCTAATGCTTCCACTTCTCAAAATGCTTTTTTTAAGTTTGTTGATTTAAATTCTATAACATTGTATAAAAGCATTAATCTTATTTCATTATATGCCAATGCCATTTGGACTAAAGATGCTATGACTCAAAAAGAACCATTGAATTTTGTTTTCCATATCTTTTAGACAATAACTAGTTTTAAATTTTAAAATTTACATTTGACATTTAGGTAGTACAGCCAGAAAAGCTTCGTGAGCTCAAAGGAGTGGAGATGTAACTTGGGAAATAATTCTGTTTTATTTGTTTATTTTTTCTCTTTAGTATACAAAGACGATGACTTTAGAGGCATTTTCCGTTGTTATGACACAGATACTTGGAATTAGTCTGGGACTGACTTACAAAGATAGCTACAACTGTTACTGTCTGGGACCCACATGTATAATGAATCCCGAAGCATTGTAAGGTGTTGTTTTTTTCAAGTGTGTCTCTTCTCTTGAGAATTGTTTGTATTATTTCTTGATAAATAACTCATTGAACTATAACTTGAGAAAAATGTTAAATATATACCAATTTAAGCTGAACATTATACCTCAAGGAGAAACCAAACCCAAGAAAGCAGAAGGAAAAAAAAAATATTGAAGAGAAATCAACATAGGACGTTGTAGAAAATGCACTTCATACTTGTATTGGTTGAAAGTCATGACGCATTTTTTGCATGGAAAAATGTGTCATGACTTTCCTGACGTCCCAATATATTCAATTTTGTTGTTCTAGGGAGTATGTAGCTGTTGATGATGATAACTTCTTTGGGGGGAGTTTACTGGAATTATGTAGAAAAAGTGAAATTATGCTCACATGAAATTGAAAAGCACAATGGGGCTAGGATATGAAGATTTGTGTGTGGGGTCCTGAAAAAAATGCATGCCATATCTTTTAGACAATAACTAGTTTTAAATTTTAAAATTTACATTTGACATTTAGGTAGTACAGCCAGAAAAGCTTCGTGAGCTCAAAGGAGTGGAGATGTAACTTGGGAAATAATTCTGTTTTATTTGTTTATTTTTTCTCTTTAGTATACAAAGACGATGACTTTAGAGGCATTTTCCGTTGTTATGACACAGATACTTGGAATTAGTCTGGGACTGACTTACAAAGATAGCTACAACTGTTACTGTCTGGGACCCACATGTATAATGAATCCCGAAGCATTGTAAGGTGTTGTTTTTTTCAAGTGTGTCTCTTCTCTTGAGAATTGTTTGTATTATTTCTTGATAAATAACTCATTGAACTATAACTTGAGAAAAATGTTAAATATATACCAATTTAAGCTGAACATTATACCTCAAGGAGAAACCAAACCCAAGAAAGCAGAAGGAAAAAAAAAATATTGAAGAGAAATCAACATAGGACGTTGTAGAAAATGCACTTCATACTTGTATTGGTTGAAAGTCATGACGCATTTTTTGCATGGAAAAATGTGTCATGACTTTCCTGACGTCCCAATATATTCAATTTTGTTGTTCTAGGGAGTATGTAGCTGTTGATGATGATAACTTCTTTGGGGGGAGTTTACTGGAATTATGTAGAAAAAGTGAAATTATGCTCACATGAAATTGAAAAGCACAATGTGGCTAGGATATGAAGATTTGTGTGTGGGGTCCTGAAAAAAATGCATGTTTGAGAGATGATGATTTTCCTACTTATTCATAGTAGTAATTAAAATTGAGAAAAAAAGATGATAAAAATTATTCATAGTATTTTGGATATCACAACATAGTATCAACTATTTAGAAAGGCCAATATGTAAGAAAAAGAGAAAAATGTAAAAAATATGGAGGGCAGTTTGTATGTGTTTGCTATGTAGTGTTCTGAATCATCTATTGAATTTTTTAAGAGATATTTTTACAATAGGGTGTATGCACCTGCCAGAGAGAGAGAGGGAGAGAAAGAAAACGAGAAATAATCCCCCAAGGAAGATGGCCATGCCACCATCCCTTCTCCATTCTCCTATTCTCCTCTTGGGATTTTGGTCATGCGCACACCTGAGCCCAGCATAAATTTCAAGTCACTGGGACTCAAACTGCAGTCGACCGAGTGGTAGTCCAGTGCCTTAAGCAGTGCAGCACCTGCCGGTCCCAGATTGAAATTGATAAGCACACATTAGTACTGTTTGTCTCAAGCTCAGCAGACAGAAGATCTAAAATGTGCAAACCATCAGCATATGGATGAGAATTAAAAACACGTACAGATAGTTACAGAGGGAAAAGAGGTGTCAAGATAAAGTTTTGAGTACTTCTCATATTCATAGGCTGAGTAATTGAGGGAAGTAATTGAGTGACATGGGGCTGGGATCAGAAAGCAAGAAAATTCTAGGACAAGAATTAAAGTGGGATGGAATCTGATCTAGAAAGGCATGTGTGTTGGAAATGAAAGCAAGGAGCCAGTCTGTGGCATGGTGAATAAGATGGCTGGATCCCATAGAGCTGAGCCCATAGTTTGAGTCCTGGACCCAGCAGCTTCAGAAACACTCAGGTCACATGTATATGCATGCCTACACCCACGAAGAGGGAGAAGTGGGAAGGAAAGGATTATGGCACAGCCACCTCTCATGGGGCGTGGAGCGTGCTTTCCCACTTCACCCTCTCTCTTTCTCTCTAAGGTGGGTGTACTTGCCCTCTGGCAAAATTTAAACAAAGGAAAACAAAACAAAGAAACAAAAACAAGAGAGAGAATGGAAGCCAAGGGCTAAAAGCTCCAGCATGATATTTTAGCTTCCCAAAATTCTATCACAAAGTAGGGAGAATGATTATAAAAACAAGTAAATAAAACCAAAAATATATAGCGCAAGTTTCTCATACTGGAACATACCCACAAGTGAGAATCCTCTGACAAAATAAGGTGGTCAGGAAGCAAGTAGCCGCTAAGATCTTTACAGACCTGGGAACTCAGATTATGGACTAATCTATGCCCGAGAAAGATGAAGCTTCACTGGGACATGACTTTCAGTAAGATCACAGCATTAAAGGAGCCAGAATTAATGCAGCTTTTGCAAAGTACTGGTGAAAGGCAAATGAAATTGTATACATTTTTAAATATAAACCTCTGTGTTTTTGGTCTCTGTCCTAAGAAATCTGTTTAGAGCAAGCACATGTGTCTCCCAGATATGATTCCTAAGTGTTCTCCACTAGATAGAACAGGCGTATTGAAGAAATGACTGCTTTTGAGGCTGAGGAAAAAAAAAAATACAAGTGAGCCTGGAACATTTTTTGTAGGAAAAAAAATGTGATGTGCTCAAAAAATAATGGAGATTTGCCAAAGTTCGAAGAGGTTCAGACTGTCAAATCTGTGACAATTTGAGTGTCAAAAATAATGGTAGTAATGGATTGTAATCCATGGAATAAATAGAAAAACACGACTCTATAGTGATGTAAATTATATGAATGAATACATGGAAAGTGTCATTAAAAATGAACTATTTATATGAAACTAAAGTATTTTCTCCAAAGAATTAATAACTGATAGGGAAAAATAAGTTAATAATGAGGACCGGCAGACATACTTTCATCAACTACTCCAAGTGACTTACCGATTATGTAGTAAGTTGAAACTGTGTGCAATGAAGTAAACTCGCAGCGCTTCTGTGATAAGTCGCTAAGATGGCGTAGCTTCAGTCTCGTGATGAGGGAGTGTTGTGTCAGCCTCTACTGAGGGACATACTAAAAAGTAATTGACCTGCAATCATAAAATGTCTCAGGGTCATAAAAACTAACAAAAACATAGCCAACTAAACTAAGGAGAAGTGAAAAGAAATGTCAAGGTCGATTCTGAGCTGGGTCCTTATAATATGCATTGCCAATATTGTGATGTCTGGGGACATCTGGATGGAATCTGAGGATGGGATGGTAGTACCGTATCATTACTTCCTGAATTTTTTGAGGGTGTCTGTTGTGGTTACCTGTGAGAATTCATTTCTATGAATGCACTCTACAAGAAAGTTATTAGGACAGCATGTTGGCATCTTACTTTTAGCCTATATTTGCATAATTTCTCCGGGTTTTAGAATGTTATGAAATGAAACAAAACCTAGTAAAGTTTTGTAAAGTACACTTGAAACTACAGTAATTTGGGCCAACCTGTGGCATGGTGGTTAAGGAAGATCCGACACGGCCAACCCCATGCTTCCAGTCCCCAGGCTTAGTAGCTTGTGAAACATGGCAGGTGCATGTACAAGGATGCCCACAATCTCCAAAGGAGAGAGAAGTGGAGGAGAAGGGATGGCAGTGTGAACATTCCCCAGAAGGGATGTTTTCCCATTTTCCCTCTTTCTGGCTAGTGCATCCACCCACTGTTAAAAAAAAAAAAAAAAAAAAAAAAAAAATAAAGAATTTTAAAATGTAACACTGGAAA